GTAGAGGGGTCGTAACAAGACCCCGATGTGGGGGTCGTACTGAGGTGACCACGTCCTCGACACGATTTTCACCCTGCTGTCCAAAATCCACAACTATACTAAACCATAAGAAGGACGAGTACATGGCGCATCCAAAAAGATCCTCTAAAACTCTGATATAGATGGCTAAGATTTGTTAGAAATCTTCTGCTTAACTCCATTAGGCTTTTGGGACCTCTCTAGTTCTGCAAAAAAAGAACATCTGTACTTTGTTGTGTATTTGAATTGCATTGAGGTCATTATTTGCCAGTTTTTCTATAGCTTTTCAGACTTTGACAAAAGTACCATGACATCGCGATAAGTGTATGCAACACAAAAACCCAGCGATTCTCAAGCCGTCGGAGCACAGCCGGATTTCCAGCTCCTCCGCAACGCTCTGAGCAAATACTTCACAAGTGTCTTCAAGCTCTCTCAGCTTTTCCCTGCCTACGCGCAATCTGCGATATCCGAGACTGTAGCCGCCTGGCTGTTATCACATGGGTTGGATGCCGCTCGATTTTAGCTATTTCTATTCTCTTTTGTAGTCAAATGGTGCTATTCTTCCCAAAGAAGTAGAGCTACTACGCAAATTTTTAGCAGATTTTAATATAATTTCATTGATAAAATAATTTATTATCTCGATAAGGTAGAGTTCTACTGACATAAAATATTAGGGTTCAATTTGATACTTACAAAGACATTTTGAATTATTATAAAGACCTGTTACATTAATTGAATTATGTCACATTGCAGAATGCCTTCACAATTTGTAATGGAAAATAGCAACTCAAAAGCGCATTTATCGTCCTAATGGACAACAGTTGTGATCCTGAGATTTTGAGGCTCTTTGCAATCTTACCTGTCTCATCTTTTCCTTCGTAATTCCTCTGGTTCTTTTGCTCATTTCTTTTCGTGAAACTGGTAACCCTGGATCAGTATGCTCTCTCTTATAACCTCGGCATAGTTCGTTGCTTACATCTTTGCTGTGGAGGTAGGTAGGTGGAAATTCATCGCGGTTTGATTGCTTTATACTTTTGCTATGAGCTCTGTAGGGAAAACATTCTACGGTGAAGTTATGGACCTTCTAGTCGTTTTCAAATGCCTCAGATTCCACCACCGGGAAGGGTCGGTAAGTGCTGTACTTACTCCCGTAGCAGACCCTCATGTCAATAGGAAGGGGGAGGGAGAGCATTCAAATGAGTGAGCCAATCAGCCTGCTTGCGACTGAGCCTCACAGAGGGAAGGGATTTTGGGAGAGAATGTGAGCAATTTGTTTCTCCGCCTGGCGCTTCTCCCCTTTCCTTGGCTTGGTCGTAGTGTCATTCTATCGCCGTGTTTGAATGTCCTTGCCTAAGGACGCTTAAGCCTCGTAGTACAACTATGGCGTAATCGACAAAATTTCTGATTCTCGTGAACCGGATGACCCGCTTTGGCTTCTGACGATTAATTGTTAAGAATTAGAAGTTTCTATGTGTGCACAATCAGCCATTCAGCCATTAAATGCTTCAATATTCCCTAAAACTGTGGTAGCGTGTTTGACTACGGAAGTGGGACACAAGTGTCCCAACCAGTAGTCAACTAGGCTCCAGTGGTGGAATCTTTAGGGGAAACTAGTATAGCGTGTTGTTGTTTATCTCACGTCTACCTTATGTAGCGTATGAATAAATAAAAAAAATAAAAAGTAAATAAATAAAATGCCGAGGCCTTGCTGGGCGCTCAAAAGTCGAAATCTGGTGCACAGAAAGTTTCACCCTCAGCAGGGGCCGTTATAGAATGCAAATGTAGATAGTGTAATCTTCCCTGTTACTTTTCTCGAAAGATCAAAAGTTTTGTTGGCGACACTATTTTGTGCTGTGGCCGTCCGTCTCCAGAATTGCTTTGTTTTCACGCTGATAACACATTACTCCTTTTAGGCTGATCATGTCTGACGAGGAGGAGGTGTAGTGAGTTCTACAAGATTTTTTTCTAAATTGAATTTCAAATAATCCTACAAAACAATTTTTCTAGCTCTGAAGAGGAGGTGGAGGAAGAGGAAGAGGTTGAAGAGGAAGAAGCCGAGGAAGAGGCAGTTGAGACGAAACGTGGCAGGTGAGTCCACTATCAGACTTGGTCGAGACTGCTCCGCACCGTTGTTCCATGGATGAATAAATAGACATTTAAGCTCTAAGTGAATGACAACCTATAAACAGCCCCGTGATAGTCTTAGAAAGGTGGAGCTGGAGTCTGGGGCACTCCATTTTGCGCATTCATCACTAAGGATGGAATAAGAGCGCTTATGACACGTAACTGACTCATTAAAATATTCTTCTGATGAACCGGTGCAATTTGGAAGTACTAAGGTGTTACCAAATATTGAGCTCAAGTCTAGTGTTCAAAGGAAATAGTCCCGAACCAGGAGAACAAACATTCTTGCACAGTTCTGCTGGTAGAGGATCCAAGGGTGGACGGAGAGACGCCTGAAAATTGTAACGATATGGGAAGAGATGTAGTTCAGGAACGGGTTTCTACCAGAGTACGCTGAAATGAGTTGTTCTCTGTTATCTTACCAATTAGGTAGAGACCCTAAAGGGATGTTCTCTAGCGATATGATGAGGAGTCCCCCCTATCTCAATCTAAATTGACCCTCATGCCTATAATACAAAAATCAGCTTATCCCAGCACAGTTAAACATGGCATTCACTAGCAAGGGTATTTGCAACCTCAAACTCTATAGCTCTAATTTCAACTTATGTATTGTCTCGAGTTGCTCAAAGTAACAATCGAGAGGATCTCTAGCGTTGAACATATGACACCCCCTACCACTATCCTACCCAACCCATTGTGAACTGTTTGATGAGTAAAAACAATTTATCGCCTGAAAAAGCTAGAGCTCTCACTAAAAGTTGAGCAATCCATATCAATTGACAACGTCGAGAAAGTAGCTCGCGGGAATATGGTAACTCACTGTGTTTATAACACTATGTAGGATCAGTACGATCGGATTTCATGGGAAGCAAAGCTCAATTCGCCGAATATTTCCAGACGCGCATCAACAAGAAATACGTACTCAAAAAAACATAACCAAGCAAGAGCCGTAGTTGGCAGAGCTGAGACGAAATATAACTAGTTACTCAGGGGAATTTGTTGAAATGAACGTGTATTTCATATGCACCGGCCAACGCTGAACCTTTGTCCAGTCAATCAATCAAACAAAAAGTTGGAGAAAGATTGCAAGCAAACATAAATAAAGCAACAAACAAGTCAGTCTAACCGCAATTAATTTTGGGCCAGGCGCTTGCGTAAATGATCCAGAATCTTAAGTTAATAGAACAGCTTCTGCACGAGTTGAAATCCCGATTTTTTGTTGGCTTTTCATGGTCAAAAAAAAATAAATGGGAATCGCATCAGATTTTGTGAGTTTCAAGAATATCCCTCAGTAAATATGGATTCAAGGGTATGATCGCTAATGGAAAACAAGCAGCAGAAATATTAGAAAAACTTCGAAGCGGCTGCAGAACCGTTTGTTTGTATTACAACGGGAACTACATGAACGAGGTGGAAGCATCTTCACGGTCGAAAACTCAACCAGCTACAGGAAAGACGATAGTAGGAGTAGCGCAAGGACCAGAACAGTAAACATCGATCTTCTCAGAGATGCGGTTCGCCCCTAGATTTTCCGCTCAAAATTTTGAGTGTCTTGGAGATACAAAAAGATTCGATGGCAACAGTGAATGACATGGGTTTTCTTTTTTGAGCGACTGAAAGCGATAAGTGGACCGCTAATAGACAAGACTCTTTGTAGGAACTGGAAGATTCCAAAAAAAGCGCAAAGTGCGCTTTACCGAGGCGTGGCCACCTATACGGTTGTTGAATGGGGATAAAACTCTTTTCTGGGGAGAGCTGTACGTCCGTCGCTAAGCGGGCACGTTAGCGGACTCAATATCAAGAGGGGAAGAACTTTGGGGGCTGGAAAATTGCTATGCAATACCCCTCCATCTGTCCTCTTCTATGCCTCCCCTACGACCCTGAGGGGGTTAGGGTAGAAGAGGGTGTTGGCCGTATGGGCTCTCTGCATAGCGATGCCTCATCGTACGTCACCAGCGCCAATTTTGCGTTTATGTGCGGGATAGGGTGTGGTAACTGACGCATTCGAAACCACGCCAAGCACTCGGTTATAAAATAGTCAGAAAAATATTATGAGCAAAGCCTCATTGTTAGGTGTGAAGAAGAGACTTCAGAATTATGCGCTTTTCCAGCAGTTCCTGCCTTCCCAGGCATAGCTCCGACTACTCACTAGGTAAATTTGGTTTTTCTACAACGTTTATTCATCCCTAGCAACACAATCCCGGTAGCATAACACTAGAGCTTCAGGATATGGCATGGTAATGGAGCCGCTAAAAATCAAAATTTCAAGCGTCACCTTCAGCGAGAGCGGACACGAGCAGTTTACAAGGCTTGTTGCACCGCAATGACCGACTTTTTCTCACCCTTGCTCGTTTAGAAAACAGCCACATTCGTTCTCCCCAATTTCCTATGAATCAACCATTTCACTAATTACATTTTACCACCTCACATCCAGATATCGCTACTTTTGAGGTATCGCTACTTTTGCCAATGGAAAACTTGTATAACAATGCAGAGGCCTTAAAAACCCTTATAGAACGATGCAATTGATTAACCAAAATTTCTTTCCTTTGCAGTCGCCATGTTGAAAACGGCGAGCACGCTGAGGACGAGGAAGGTCTTAACGAGGCTGAAAAGGCGATGATGGTGAGTTTTCCGTACCCTGTGATTGGTTAAACGTTGAAATAAATTGCGATTTCACTTTCCAGAATTAAGTAGGAAGGTGGATAGGTGTAATGAACACAGAAAGATTGAATGAGTGGCTTTTAAGGCTGCCAAAAGACGCCATGAAGAAGTACGAAGTTATACGAGCTGGTGAGCTACGAGGAAGGAGAAAGAAGGAACGAGAGGCTGAAGAAGAGGAATTGAGGAAGCTAAAAGAGAAACAAGAGCGTCGACGAATAGAGCGTGAACAGGAGGAGTTGGAGCAGGCTGAAAAGAAACGGAAGGATGAGGAACGCCGAAAAGAGGAGGAGGTAAGCCCTTTGAAACCTAGTCAAAATAGTCTACCAAAACTCTGCAACCCCCCCCCTCTTAGACCTCATTTGTTTCCTTTCGTCTTTTTGGAAGTGCCCGCCGTGCTCGACAGGAAGAGGAGAAGAGAAAGAAGGAAGAGGAAAAGAGTAAACGTCAGCAAATGAGCGGTGCCAGCTTTGTAGCAGCACAAGGTGGAAGGTATGGTTATCTGAAAATACATCCTCTATCACTAAGTCATCGACTTGGCAACCGGTTTTTCCAGAAATTTCATCATTCCAACAAAGACCGAGAAAAACGACAAGTTCGGTAATATTGTGCAAAGCAAAGGAGGAATGGGTATGACAAAAGAGCAACAGGAGGAAGCGAAGAAGGTGTTGTGTAGTCAAGAAGGGTCAAAATGTCTCAGGTGTACCCCTAGACCAAGCCAACGACCGCCCGCTTGGCTACTGCATGGAAAGGTCCCTCCCAAGAGGGGAGAGGGGAGGTTAGGGGAGGGCTCCTAGTCCCAGGGCAAGTTTCCTGCATATTGTAGGAGCATACAATGGAACGCATACAATGCGTCGCGTTGATTAAACGGTTTACTATATCAAGTCGATACACTACTGTTAACAGGCCCGTTTTCGGATTACCGGTTGCGTTAGATTTTGCATTCAAAACCGTTATCTGTTGTATCCTTTAATGCCTCGTCCGACGAGTGACGTCTAATTTTGACATTCGGTTTCCATTTGCAACCAACTCGTAGGCGCCAATCTAAAATGCAAAGTTTAGTCGCCGTTGGGGATCGAACCAGCAATAATTATCGTTCATAACATGGTCTGTACAAATAAAAGCGTCCAGCGGGACGGAGCGTCGCGCTTTGTGTTCGACACAGCGATGCTGCCGCTCACGTGCAAAAAACTGCTCTGAAAAAAACCCTTCTCGTCAACCGGGAATTGACATCGACCAGTTTCTCTTTATGCGCATTTACCGGTTGTGGTTTGGTGCCAGTAAACGGGTGGCTTTTAGCCGTAAATCACATAAAGATGACGATTGGATAGTGGAAGTTAGATGGGAAATGTGTACTTTAGTAAATACTTAAAGCATCTGGATTCTAGAGGCGCGATATTTTCATTCCACCTACCGTACCCCTTGTAAGGCTTCACTCCACCTACCGTACCCCTTGTAGAGTTCTGAGTTATCATTTGGCCTTACTAGTTTTTAGAGCACCTAATCCGACTGATGGAACTTTTTGTGGTGTACATAACTCCCATATATGAATAAATCTTTTTCATTCAGGCCTTCATGATCGGAATTCGTCAGTCGATCCCGGAAGCGTCCGCAATTTCAGCGTCTGACCTGAAAGCAAAAATCAAAGAACTTCATCAGAGAATCTGCAAACTCGAAACGGACAAGTACGACTTGGAGAAACGTCATGAGCGACAGGAGTACGATGTAGGTCCCGTAGATCCCACTCATATAATCAGATGATAATATGTTCCTTTCTTCACCAAATTTCCATTCTGGAAATGTATCCTTATTTCCACTTTTCTACCCATCGACCAAGCTCTAGGCCTGTTCCCTCTCAGCACTTTCCTGCTTTCCTCCGGAATCTAGTTGTTTAAGCTTTCAGCTCACTATCAATGTCCATCCCTTTCTGTATTTGTTATTCATCATGATCTTCGTCAGCCTGGGCAAATGTAAAAAGAGACCAGTTAAAATTATCAATTGATTCAATATTGCAAGCCTTATTTATATCAACACCTCTACGCATCCACTTCTTGCCTTTATATCTTTATCCATTGGATACCGGTATAGATCCCTTTTAGTACAGCGACGGCATCAGTCCTCGAACCTAATTCTGCAAAGACCAGTAAAGCTCGACCGTTTTTCGGCATTGAGCTAAATTTGTGTCGAATTTGCACATGCATTTGAAAGCACAATCAACAGTATCGATCGCTGAAGCCGGAGAAAATCGTGCGGGGACCATCTCCATGCTCTGCAGGAAGCCCGCACAAACTTCAACCTTTTTTAACAAAGTGGCGGCGGTTGACCCCGCTTTCAGTATTTCCTACGGAGTATGCCTCTGTTTGGCGATTTGCACTGTAATTTCTAGAACAACTCATTTCCACCCATCCTGAGAATTCTATACATCTTCACAGTTAATTATTTCGTACTTTTTTGTCAATTAATCAATCATGAACTGATTTAATGCTTTCAGCTGAAAGAACTGAATGAACGATCGCGACAAGTGGCGAGAAATGCTAGCGGTGGCAAAAAGGGCGACGTGGGGGTCGTACTCTTGGGGGTCAGTAACAGAAGTGGTATCATGGTGCAGATAGGTAATAGGGTATAGCGCAGCAGAAAATGAAAACATCCGAAAAAAAAACATGATATTAAATTTTCTTTGCAGGTTCAGTCGCTCCATTCCTCCACCTTCATGAGAAGGGCGTATTTGAAGGCAGTACAAAGAATGAAAGTGCATCCCCGCAAAGAAGAGTGCCACATGTGCGCACGCGCTGCAAAGGCACCTCCTCCGCCTATCACTCGCTCCTTCTCCCTTAATACCTCGCTGAGAATGACGCTGTTGTTAGGGACCCTGTCGGAAAAACGACAACCGTGAAGAAAAAGCGCTGGGCAAATGAAGTTGTTTTTTAGGTTACAGGAATAGCACAACACACTATGTCTACTACAATACAGTTTCGTTCGAAGGTCCCCATCATATAACACCTTTCAATCGATTCTGCAACTGTGAGTGGAGGAGGGATGCATGGCTTATACCAATACCAAATCGGATGATGACGATTGCTCCTATTCTTATTGTTTGCGTTCAAAGATATTGTTCTAGACACATTCCGAGTGTTGCCAACGAGTCACACTTGCAATGGTGAATGAGGGGAGCGGATTTCCAGGTGGCCGGATCCGACCTCGATAGATCCTCGACGCAATTATCTCTTCAACCAAAAAGCTGTAGAAGAAAACTAAACAGACCATCAGGAAGCGCAAACCTTCCGCTTTCCAAAACTATCTTCCCTTTTTCAGGATCTTACAATATAAGAGATATATTGCTCTTGAAGTGGCAAAAACTCGCGTGAAAATTTGGGCCTCCTCGACATTTACTCGACGAAATTTGACAGACCCTATCTTTCTGCAAGGAAGGCTTCCAGAGCAATTTCGATGCTTGTTGGAAACGCGAAATCCAGCTCTATCTAACTCTACCTCAAGCTGCTTCAAAGGTTGTGAAATGGAGGAATGCAACCTTTTCATCGAGGGTGTAGATTCGGACGTTTTTTTTTGAAATTTCGGCAAATCTGACCCAGTGACAATCGCGCCGCAGCTGCCGTTGAATCGGCCTTTGATACACTCGGCTGTTTTGATATACTCAAGCAAGAATCAAGATTGAATCGCAACCCCGTGTCTTCAGGATTTCTGTGCGTTTCTGAACGAACCTCGCCTTGAGGTCACACAAAGTTAATGCCTCTTTCCTCGAGTCGATATTTCAGTATGTACACAAAAGTATGCAGCGATGGAAGACGTGCATGACAAGATGAAGCGTCCTTAGCATTATTTTGCAGAATTTTTTTTGATTTGTTTTGCAGGATTTATTTTAATTGAATTAATTTGCTCTGTTAGAGGGGGTCGTGCCAGGATCTCGATTTCGGGGGGGGGTCGTACCTCTGCGACCACGTACTCGACACGATTTTCACCCTGGTTGCAGGCTGGAGGGCAATGCAATAACTTCACTTGAAACACCCCCCCCCCCCCCCCCCCCTTCTTCCACACCAGCGCGGTGAGGAGTTGGTTCCACCATAGCGTTTCAAATGACGTCATCAAAACATCATTTACAACGCTCCAGCGTCGGCGACCAACAGTTTGCAAAATTCAACACTAATCTGGTGTGGCGGTTTCAGTTCATAATTTAAGCCTTTCCTCGTAGCAAAGTGATAAAAGAATGACTTAGAGTGTAGACAAAAGAACTTGCATGTGACTGTGAAATCAGAAAAGTCTCCAAGTGGTATTCGACATTTCTCAGGCCAGCCAAGCTGGGATTGACGATCTCCAGATTACGCGAAAGAAATGACGAAGAACTGCAAAATAGCTCCGCAAGCCCATGTCAGAATTTCATGTAGGGAAATTGATGGATCAAAAACAAGTCAGTTTGAGACCTGCGGAAAATATTGCGCAGAGTAGGTAAATAAAGCGAAAAGAAGTGTGCCTAAGACCTTGAACTGAAAAGGAAATCACGAAAAAAAATTGGCTGAAAAGGAGCGAATCAAGCTTGAAAAGAAGGATGCCGAAATAATCTTCGACCTTAAGGAAATAATCCGAGGAGAAGATAAGGGGACGCACGAAAGGTAATTAACGATAGGAAAGATAAAAAAGAAATTAAACAGTCAATAGGTATCAGTTAATCAATAAACGAAATTGAGCGCTACAGGTGACAGCGGAATTATGTTACGTGTAAATAATGTACTTTGTTTCATCGAAGACACCTTCCAGCCCGCCCATTGATGACCTTTGATGAAAGTACATTTTATGTCACTCTTGTATCGACCTTGTTCGGAAAAATGTGGGATTTTTCCTCTCTACCTGAAAAATCGCCAAGCAGCAGGCTAGCATCAGCGTAATTCAGTTTCAAGATGAAGGGTCGAAGGATGCTCCGCGCCGGTCAGGCCGACCAATCACTTTTGGGGTGCGCCACGCGCAGTACTTTCATCTTTGTAAAGTTTGTATCCTTTTAGAGCACCACTGTGTCCATTGCCCCACTGGTCACTGTATGTACATGAAGGTGTTTTGAAGCTCCTACATGAATCTGACAGCAACTAGTGTGAATAAAGGCCTAATGGTGTGGAAAAGATTCGACGTGGGTTGATCTGCGGATCATTCGTGTGGTGGCAGCGCCATAAGCAGCTGTTCTGTTCAGCCGTATTTAAGCTCTATAACAAAGGTCAGAAGGATCGCACGCAGTAGGAAGTCTTTTTTTATGATAACAATCCGCCTTTATATTCATCGAACAACGTTAAACAACAGTTAAAGTTCATGCACGTGTTCATTCGGCACGGATTAGCGCTCATGCTAATCAACGTCAGTACTTTCAACTAGTTCTAGCTGATACAAAGAAGATTTATGCTTTCGAAATGTTGTTTGAAGTCTGATCTGTACATAAAACAACCAATGAAAGATGGCATATTTGAATGGCAAATCAGGTTCTGTCCACACGTGAGATTCGTCACACGTGCCGCGCTCTATAGAAGCTATGAGACGATTATGACAACAAAATCACAAACAAGAGGCAGCGTAACCTGCGCCTGTTGACCAGCTGTGAACGGGACCGTCGCCAGACAGAATATTATTTAATTTTATTTTTTGAACGCTAGTGATCTGTCCGTGTATTCAACAGACCACAAAAAAAACAAAACACGTAAGCCAACCGACTAGTAACGAAAACTTCAATTAAAATAAAGATACACAAAAAATACATAAAAAAAACAACATAATTCAAATAGCTATGATAAGAACTAGCCTGAACTGATCAGTCGCAGTGTCAAGAAACCTCTGCATTGGCCGCCTTAATTGCTTTACTTCGGAACGACCCGAGGGAACAGATCGCAACGTGCCTCAAGGCACTAAATTTGGTCAGATTGGGCCACAACGTCTTAGCGGCCGAAGCTCTGCTCTGACCTGTGTTCTGATTACAGAGGACCTTATTTTGATAGCGCTACCCCTTGTTCTAGACCTAGCTAAAGTGAAAAAAATCTGTAGAGTAAACCGCTACTCTCCCTGTTAAAATTTTAAAAGCCATAACTAGATCATTAACCAATCTTCTGTTTGCCAGAGAAGGTAAGGTTAACTGACGGCGCCTATCGTCCCCACTAGGCAGTGTCTCATAACTCATCCTGAAGCAACGGAGAGCGAGTTTACGGGTAAAGTTGCTTTGAACACTTTCTAAAAGGAAATGGCAGAAATGTAGCGGAGCCGCACTCTGTGTTTCCTTGTCCCTAGTTAGTTTGGTTTTGGCCTATGGCATTCAATATTTGTACGAGAAAAAGAATAAAGCATTTGCCGTTGATCAATCCCGTTTTGGGATGCGGCACGCATTCTACTTCCATTTGTACATTCGCAGTGGCATTTGAATGCGATGTGGCCTATACAATGACTTGCGGGGGCCAGCCGATGTTCAAGTCAGTGTTTTTATCCTCCAGACAAGTCTGTACACAACTCCGGAAGGAACTTGGAAGGCTTGGTTTACCCAGCGACACGACCCATGGAGCGATCCCCAGGACCGCTTCGCGTGGTAATGCCTCAGTAATGAATAAATACATACGGTTCAAATGATTCGCCAGAACATATTCAGTACACTATTTAGCTGAACAACGCCTCCAAGATGATTTATACTACGTCTATATAGCGTTTTTTACATCCTCAAGCTCAAAGAAATATTCAATACAGATATAATTCTTGGAGTGTAGTTCCGACTGCTACCTTAAATAAATAGAACGCGCATTCGAAGATAGGGGGGCATTGTAGTGGCGATGCATTTAAAACCACGTAAAACATATCCTTCCCGTTAAAATAGAGACTAAGCCTCTGAAGGAGTGGAGGGACTCTCAGCTGCGTGAGCAATTTTTTCCCCGAAGTTCATGCCCGTTTCTAAGTTAAACAAGGAAGCATATAAGGAAATGTTTTCATAATTATACATAGAAGTGAATTATCATAAGAATGAAATGTGCAGCAGTACTGAATGAAGAAATAAGAAGGATCATCAATGGGACCTCTCTATTTCGTCCTGATCGCTTTTTTTTTGAAGGGGCAAACCTGCCTGAAACGATAAATGAGGAATCCACGACAAAAAACCAAGCGTAATAAAAGGGAAACTAAATTGTTATAGGGCCAGGGGGACCATCTATGAAGGTGCTTGACGACGAGCTATTGGACAGCGAAATTGACCTAGCCATGCCTCACTTTTGCGCGAAGTTTGGAGCGACTACACACCCACGACTATCCAATCACTCGCCGCAGAAGTCTATACGTGGCGAGTATAAGATAGCAGGTAGGCGTAGTGTTGAAGGGCACAGCTATGAAAGCAATGAGCAAATCAACGGGCAAGAAAGGATTCCCATTTCTTAGGTTTTCGGGCCATTTCAAATGGTTTCTTCTGCACTCCTGCTCACTGCACCCGACCACGAACCCTGATCCCTGAGCTAACTTTTTCATCGTGAGGTCTGCGTCTTTAATGTAAAAAAAAAGGTGGAAATAAAAAATGAAGGTAGAAGGAGTAATTGC